TATTTTTTCTAGTCAACCAATCCAATTAGATATTATTTTTTGTTAAAATATATGTAAAGGTTATTTTAATTTATTTTTCTATTTGTGTGGTCCTTACAGGAATATAGCTAAAATTAAAAAAAGGAAATAATAAAAAAATATTTAATTTAAAAATAGCTGACAAATAAATATAAAATTGAAAATTTAAAATTAAAAAAAATTTAAAAAATAGTTTGTAAACACATTAATTTGGTATTAAACACTTTAACTTTAATTTATTCTTACACCACATTGAGAATGCCATGAATCCTCCAGACATATGTACCGTATTTCCTCTAATAGTCGACAGCCCTTAATAGAATGACAGTTTTAAGAAAAGTTGAAAAATAAAGCAACATGTCGTTTTATTAAAGAAAATACGGTATATCCTTTAAAAGTTATGGCCTGTGCATCCAAACATGATGCAAGAGTGCATGAACTAATTAATACCTGTAGCTCCCGCGAACTACAGGCTGGTAATAATTTTAATTGTTTTACGGTAGGATCACGATCCTTTGTGGATGATATGGACATTTTAAGGAGGAAATTTCTGAATCTCTAAGCGTTTCCTTCCAATTTAATTTTTTAATTGCCATTTTTCCATATTCCCCGTCTTTACAAAACATTAATTATCAAAAATAAATTGTCTTCTGGCAAAATTCACAATTAATTAACAGATAAATTAATCGAATTTTTAGAATTTCGATCAAGTTTTTCCTTAAAAACTCAAAAAAACTCGGCAAAATACTCGATCCGTAAATGAAAAATTAAATTTTAAAATTTACAAAAATTTATTCAATACATGTGTTTTTAACAATAATTTGTTTATAATATTTAGTTAACAATTCTAATTGTAAATCATTTAACATATCAATAAATTTAGCTAATTTCTGTGAGTTTTTAACATAAACAATTGATGGATCCATTCCCATTAAAAGACATTTATTGAAGCGACAACCCTGACAACGTTCACCTTAAAATATTTTAAAATTAAAGTTAAATTTGGATGTCAGGGATTATAAGAGCCCCTGAATAGTTTTAAACATACCTTTAGTAATTTCACAACAAAAATTCTTCCAACATTGTGGAACCTTTTGTTTTATAACGACTCGACGGAAAAACTGTTTGCAGGCTTAAATTATATAAAAATAAATTTTCATTAATTAAATCAATATTCTAACTTATTTAAAATTTAAATAAAATCCTTAAAAAACGTAGCGAGCCAATGGAGCGAGCATGCGAGTCCTAAATATAATAAAAGTACTTATGGATTTAGCTAGTAAATTATCGACTAGCACTATAGAAAAGCTTAGCTGGGCTATAGCTATTTCTCTCCTTTAGCTAATCCAAAAGGTTATTTGGCGACTGGGAGCGAACCCAGCTTATGTTGACTGGACTGTTGTGTTAAGTAGAGATTAGATTGGGACGAGATCTCGAAAAAAACCTCGGTTAGCGTGATCGAGATTCTCATACGACCCCCCACCCTCCCAGTCCGGTCTCTAGTGTTATCCATTACTCCGCACCGCCTCCTGCACAACTTTAGTAATTATTGAAAGCTAAGGGATATCTTTAGGAATTAAATGACTATCTCTTTCACTATTGACTAGGTATTTTAAGTATACTTTTAAAATTCTACCTTCACAACTTAAAACACCATAATAATGAAATGTACATTTCTGTTCACAGACAGCACATTTAAATGGGGGACTAATTTTTTGTTTTGTCCAAATAAATTTTCCATCTTTTTTGTAACAAGTTATCTCATATTTAAAATTTTCAACAAGTCTTTTTTCTCCATTAATTCTTCCCTTATATTTTGAGAGGGGATCCATTTTCTTTTTTTTTAAATTTTAAAAAATCTTAAGAATAATTTAATTTAATTTTAATAACAAAAAGAAATAAAAAAATGATAAATTTAAAAACAAAAAATAAACTAGACATGTATTAGATAGAAAAGGGATGGGATGCACTTTAAAAGCGTGATAATATGTACTAATATGTACTATAATTTATTAAAGATAAAAATAAAAATTCAAAGAAAAATATATTTATGTATAATAATATTCGGTAAAAAAATATTTAAGAAATGTTGTAACTAAGGGGTGTTGCCGTCTTCGGTCAGAGCAATCCTCAAATAGGGCAACCCTCAAATATGGCAACCCTCAAATAGGGCAAACCTCAAATAGGGCAAAACTCAAATTGGATTGTTGTATATTTTTCGGCTATTCGACATTTGCGGATCAGATTTTGGGATCAGACTACTTCCTGTCGAGTCCCTAATAGTCGGGTCCCCAAAAGTCGTCCCCAACTGTCGGGTCTCCAAAAGTCTGATCCCCAAATGTCGCACCACGATATTTTTCATGTCCAATTTTCGAGAAGGACGTTTTTAGGTTGTTCGGGTTAAACTTTCGAAGTCCGCCCAATCTTTAAAGTAAGGAGGGATTGTCATAATTGTAAGGACTTTAGTAAACTTATTTAGAGTTTATTGTTAATATTTTTTAAATTAAAAATATTTAAACTTTAAAGAAATAATTTTAAAAATTCGGTTTTATTTTATTTTCTCTTTTTTCTTGAGAAATATTATAATTTAAAATTTATTATAAAATTGAGAAATAAAAATGGGGAGAGGAAAGAAGTAAATGAGAAGGAAAAAGGGAATTTATTAATGAAAGAGTGGATGTATATTCTATTATATACAGCTAATAGCTAAATTAAAAAGGGACATATTCGAAAATTCGTATATTTTAGTAGAAAATTACATTTAAAAAAAGTACAAATAAATACTTAAATTCAGTGTTTAAAGAAAATTTTTAACGATTTTAACGAGAAAAAAATTTTTTAAATAAAATGGGTAAGATTTAGACAATAAAGGAAATAATTATTTACAAAAATTTAATTTTTTAAATTTGAGACTAGAGTTGGGCGGGATCGGGATCCCGACGTAAAACCGGTCGGGATTTTACAATAGTGATCCCGATCCCGGCTTTGGAATCGGGATTGGCCGAAACCGTGATTTGTCTTTCGGTCTCGGGATCAGAAAAATCGGGATCGGGATTCAAACAAACCGGGATAATCCCGCCCGATCCCGACTGGTATCCCGATCCCGCCCAACTCTACTTAAGACAACTTTAATTCTGATTAAATTATTTCTTTTATTTTAAAAAAGTAGTTTTTGGGGTAGAAAAATTTGAAAGAATTTTTTTATTTATTAAAAAATATTTCAAAATTAAATCACTTTAGTGTACAAATTTGTACATGTTAGAATTAATGAAATGAGAGATTATCACACAAAAAAAATAAAAAAAATTATTTTAATAAACATTTAAATTTAAAAAAGGTAATTAATATTAAATTCAATATACAGTCAGACCTCTATAAATTTGGACAGTGTTTTCTTGCAGTTACTGGAATTAGTTTAACGAACATGATCCTGAACCGAAGAACCGTCAAAAAAATGGAATTTTCTATGAACGGGAGCTGCCTAATTGTTCGATTATTGGAACCAGAACGACGCAGCATTGCTTTGGGCCAAAAGATCGTATATTATAGAGAATGTCAAAAATAATAAAAATAAAAAAAACATGTAACAATGTAAATTACAGTGGAGATAAATAAATACATTTAAAAGAAAATCTTCGCCAATATATGTATTAAATACATTCTTGCAAAAAATTAATTTTAACATCAAATTACAAGAGAAGGTAGAGTAGATGAGAATAAAAATTTGGGGAAAACGTCCAGTTGGCGGTCCACCGAGTTTATTTACAAATTCAAAAAAAGTCCCAATTAATAGTTATTGAAAATCTACAAGGCCTTCTATTGTGGAAGGGCGAAATGACTGCAAAGAGAGCTGCGTCGAATCAAATAAATCTTCGAAAATCGAAATTTCGAGCCGCTCTGCCGCCAAACATGACAGATCAGTTTCATCTGCCATATGATAGTGTCTCGAATTTTAAATCAAAGCAAATAAGTACAAAAAAGTACAAAATTATGTAAATAAAAAATAAATATGGGAATGCACTAGTCTTTATCGGCTTTAAGTGCATTTGTACTTTTTAATTTCATAATTATTTATCATATTTTTTTATTTATTAAAAAATAAAGTATTTTGAAATAATAAATTTTTAAATAATTAAAAAATTGGAGGGGAAAGAAGGCAAGAAATATTAAAAAAAAATATTTTTTTAAAATATCTTCTTACTCTTTTATAAATTACTCCCTATCGAATAATGGAGAAAATATAAATCATCATTTATATAAAAATTATTTTTATTATGAATTATGCGAGTCGATTAGCCGCCGTTTCCCGTTTGAATCCCTTATAACCCCCTCCAGCCCTTCCCTAAGGTAGAGAGGTGCTACGGCGCTCCAAGCCGCTACCTTGTCAACGGTTGTATTCGGTTTGAAGGTTAATTATGATGACTCGCTATTTTTTAGATAAGTTTTCCCCAAAAAATTCCCTACAACGAAAGATTTAGGTTTAAGAATTTATAAGAATTATTAAAAATAATCAGAATAAAGCAAAGCTTCTTAATTAATTTAATTAATATTTTTATTTCATAATGATATGAAGTAGAGATTGGGATTTTTGAAAAGGCTGGGTTTGTTCTGAGTTATATTTATTGACCTGGGCCGGATCCTGAGACTGTAGTCAAGAAAAAACCCAGTCCCCGAAAAAACTAAGGAAGGTCAAAAAATGCCCGGGCCTAGACTTTTTGCACAAGAAAAACCCAGGCCTTGGTCTAGACCCAGGCCGATCTCTAATATGAAGACCACAAAATTCTAAATTGTAATACCTTCCTGTCAATCTCAAAATTTAATAAAATAAAATTTATTAATTGCGACAATACATAGGTATATTTGGAAAATTTACAATTAATTCGGGTTAATTGAAAGAAAACTTTCATTTCTTTACCTTAATCTAAAATCACTGATTTAATTTCTTCTAAATAACTAGCTCAATTCCTTTATGAAATTAATTATTACTGCTGTTGGTTTTTTGCTATAAAATAGTTAGCGGCCAATAATGATCCTTCTATTTAAAATAATAATTAAAAATTATTAGCTTATACATACGCTTTTCTTTACCTAATTGATGTTTTTCCATAAATTTTTTCAAAGAAAATTTAGCTCTGGTATTGTATTTTGGAACTTGAAGGCGACGACCTTGGTGTTCAAAAAGAACTATTATATAGCGGTGATCTCCAGTCCTTGGTTGAGGGGCAGGGGATCCTATAAATTATAGGTAATATATTCTTAATTTAAATCTTGTAAGGAAGAGAAAGCATCCAGCTGGCTAGCATTTAAAACGCTCACTAGGCGGGGGTCTATTAAAAGAGATGGTGAAAGCAGCGTCCAGGTATCTCAGTTGGTAGAACACCTGTACGTGAAGCGCCTAGCAATAACTGCCAGGAGGTCGCTGATCGAAGCCTGCCCGGGATTAAACTTTTACCTCGCTCTTACTATATTTTTAGGAGGGGCTAGCAAATTAAATTAATAATTAAATTGTTAGATAAATAAAAATTTTAGACCAGGGCTCCGATTCCTACTTTTTTAAAAGTAGTCTACTTTTAAATCGACCTCAACACTTACGAAATTGAATTTCTACTTTTTTGAAAGTATATACTTTTTTTTGATTGAAAATGAAATTAAGGAAGGGATCGGGCAAAAAAGTGAATTTTCTGGCCTACGGCTTCTAAAATTCTCAAAATTTTCGCCTGCGGCGCAAAAAATGGAAGAAATCTGGCTTAAGGACCTCCAAAATTCTCAAAATTTTCGCCTGCGGCGCAAAAAATGGAAGAAATCTGGCTTAAGGACCTCCAAAATTCTCAAAATTTTCGCCTGCGGCGCAAAAAATGGAAGAAATCTGGCTTAAGGACCTCCAAAATTCTCAAAATTTTCGCCTGCGGCGCAAAAAATGGAAGAAATCTGGCTTAAGGACCTCCAAAATTTTCAAAATTTTCGCCTGCGGCGCAGAAAATAGATTTTTTGGCGCCTTCGGCGCCACAAAAGGTCCATTAAAATTGACAAAATGCTCAGTTGAAACAAGAAATTATTAGAAAAGATTCATTTACGAGAGAAATATAAAAGATTTGAGTACGAATAAATATTTTCTAATTTAATTTTGAGACTACTTTTTATTTACAAATTTTCTCCCTATATACTTTTTAATCAAGATTTTGATACTTTTGAGTGGCATTTTGTCGATCGGAGCCCTGTTTTAGACTAATATTGAATGTTTTTTCAAAATAAATTTATGTAAGGATGATTCACCCAGCAGCATTTAAAACGCTTAGGCGGGAGTTAAACGATCTAAAATGAAAAAGTAGAAAGCATTGGTCGATGCCCCGGTAGCTCAATGGTAAAGCTTCTGCATATGGTGAGCGAAAGCGCCTAGCAACAACTAGCAGGTGGTTGCAAGTAATCCTGCCCGGTGGCTAAACTTTTGCAAAAACTCTTTCTTTTACCATAAGGTTGTTGATGTTGCCCCCCATTAATTCCTTCCAAAATGTTGGAAGCTGGAATGTTTGCAACCAACCAATGTAGCCATTCTGCTACACTTGGATTTTTTCTTGAAAGATTGTCTGGGTCTGAAAATGATTTTAAAATGTTGAAATTTAAATTTTAAGTTTTTATAAAATATATTGATAACAATTTAAACACTAACCAATCATAACAATTGAAAATGTACTCTCAGGGTCGACATTTAAAGTTACACGAGGTGCATTCTAAAAATTTTATTTTATTGAAATTTTTAGTTGTTAATTTTTGAGTTAAATTAAGGGTTGTTGGCGACCGGTCAATCTTCACATGTGGTGAATCTTAAAGGCATTTGAGCCGCCTCAGGTGAAAAGTAACCGGTAACAAGCAACTTTAATTTAACTGCTTCAAAAGCATAACAGGTAATATTTTAAGAAATTAATATAAAATACATTCTCTAATAATTAATCAACTAATTTCTAAATAAAATCAGTACCTTAAGATGGTGAACGGGCAATTCATTTCCAGGCTCTACCTGAACTCCATTGAACATAACCTAAGTAAATAAATTAATCAGAAATATATTACCTATTCTATTTTATTTAGATTATCCCTCGATTTAATTATCAATTTACTTGACCCTCTTTAAACGCTGATTACCGAATATGTTCAAATAATTACCCTGTATAATTATTATTTTGAAATCTCGTTAAGAGGGAAGGTAATTAATCGAGCTAGATTTGATGTGGGAGGAGAGGGTGGGGGAGCGAGTGGATCTCAGTAAATCGAGAACAAACTAGATTTATTTTCAATATAGATTAGCTAAGAGAAGTTAATTATTCGCAGTGATGCGGAAATTCCAAAATGTGGCCGTTTCCGGTTCTGGAACCGGAACCCCCGCATCACTGATTATTCGGGCATATACGGGAACTATATTTTAAGCATAATTAACATTTAATTTTTGTTTTGGAGCTTCAGGCAATATTTGTGGAATTATCTCTGCTGCTGAAAAAGCTGATGCTATTGAAGCCATTCTTATTTAATTAATTTTAAAAAATATTTATTTTATATTTGAAAGAATTGATTAAACAAAAAAAACAAATTTATTTCAAAAAACAAACAAATGTTAAAACAGTCAAAGTTCCTCTATTAAACTATTGGAAAGCTGATCCTCTGTTCGTTAATTTAAGAAAAACAAATATATCAGCTGTAAAATATAAAAAAAATATTTTAAATTTTTGACGAAAAAAAGTTCAGATTATTTCGATGAAATTTGAACTTTTATTTAATTAAGACGCATTTATTTTATTTTATTTAGTATTTTAAGTTTATACATATGTCTAATTGAATAATTTCCATAAATTAAAAAAATTAATTTTTAATTAAATGTATGTACAATATTATTTAAAATCTATTCATATGGCGTTAGGACCAGAGGTAGGATTTCCGATTTTTGATCCAGTTCCGATTCCCGACAGTTCCGACTTCCGATTTCCGACGTTTTTTCCTTCCGCGCTCCAATTTCCGAAAAAAATTTTTGAGTTCCGATTTCCGACTTTTGAGCCAGTTCCGATTTCAGGATCTTCCGATTTCCGACACCTCTGACTGTTCAGATCCACTTTTGGTGCGAACATATCAGGACGAGTATCTCGAAATATTACAATGTACAAACAGCTACTCTACTGATTTCGGAACTCATGGCTAGTGGGTCTGGGCCTTGGAAAACCTCCTTTTCTTGCCCTATTGAAGAAAAATTTTTATTTTTAGTTCAAATTTTTTAATAATTTATTACCTAAATTAAATTAAAAATTTGTATATAATTTTGTCTAGAAATTTTTATATAAACAAAAGCAATACATTATTGGGTAACAGCTGTTAATTTGTGTTCATTTATATAAAATAAATAATTTTAAATTAATTTTGGAACAAATGTTTTATTTTTTTCTTTTATTTTTTAATTAGATTTATTTAATAATTATTTATAAACGTGAGATTAAAACAGAGTAAAAAATAACTGACAAATATTTTCTTTTTTACTTGATTTTTGTTTTTAATTTCTGATCGTTAAATTTAATTTTTAAATGGTATAGATATTGTTTTAAAAAAGATATTTTTTCTTATTCAAAGAAAATTAACAAACCCCAAAACAGGGGTGGGCGCAATTGAAAAAAATTTTCAGCAGCCGCAATACGAAGTCAAAAAAACACACAATTTCACGCAATCCGCAACTGCGTTCAGCCCTGATCACAAAGGCTCGGAATTAGGGATGGGGCAGGTTGAGAAAATGTCGGGCGGTTTCCAGGCGGGTCAGTTTAAAAATTAAATTTTGCCTAAAACTAAGATTTTGGAAGGAAATGGATAGAAAATGTTCGGAATTTCTTGTAACCTACTCAGATTGCAAGTGTTTATTTAGCTTATTCTCCTCCCCTTTTCCCAATCCTTTGTCCTAAAATGTTTTTGTTTTCTATTTACATTAATAATTATTTTTGTAGAAAATTATCAACAATTATACCTATTTTGTATATTTCAACATTTATCAAAATCTTTTTTTTTATAAAAAAGCAAAAGGCTATTTTTTATTTACAAATATATTTTTTTACTTTTTTTTGTGTTGATTTTATGTTTTTTCCCTTTTTATCGTAAATACATGTTGCTTTATTTTCCTCTATTCAAATATTTAAATTAACATATTTACTTCAAGAACATTGAAAGTAAATTAGTTTTTTCCGGAATAAATAAAATGTGAAAATAAAAAGAAGAAGCATTTCTCTGACTAAACACAAATTTATTCTTTTATTTTGTTGAAAAAGGGGAAATTTCTAGGGAATTAAACAAAAAAAGATTTCAATAGACACATAAACTATCCAGACTAAATTTCTAAATTTTCTTTAAATATTTTAACAAAATATGTATTTAAATATTAGAGACGTCCAAGACCGAAAATTTTCCAAGATACAAATCAAAACTTGAACCTAAGACTCAAGACAAACTCAAGATCCGAAAAAATTTTGATTTCCGATTTCCGAGTTCCGACTTTTGAGCCAGTTCCGATTTCCGGCTCTTCCGATTTCCGAAACCTCTGAATGTTCCGACCGGGTACACCCCCAACATACCGCAGAGCTATAGCTTCGTTCAAGATGGTTGAATCCGGGACGCCCTGATATGGTTAGATTCAGCTTTTGAGATGCATCGAACCATACCGAGGCGTCCCGGATTCGACTATTTTGAACAAAGTTATAGCTCTGCGGTACGTTGGGCTTCTCCCGTTCTGACCCACCTTTACTTCATTCCAAGACCGAATAATCCCCAAGAAAATTCCTCAGTCATACTCAAGACCGAGAGTATTGAACGTCTCTATGTATTTTTTTAAAAAACAGAACAATTATTTATATTTTTTCTTCTTTTAATTCTTAGAAATGAAAATAAAAGAAAATGTTGGGGGAAATGATTGACATGAGATGTACCCTTTAAAGGACACAGACAAAAATTGCCAAGTAAGAACATAAAGCAGTAGACATCTGCCATTCTTAAATGGGGTATTAGAAGAAAAACCGTAGACCATTCCCCCAAGTTTTTCTTGTCGCTTTAACATAAATACATATATTTTTTGTATATATGTACATTTTCTATGCTTCTCTTTTCTATAGAAAAATTGTCAATAACGGAAAGCCATATTAGTATATGTATTTATTAGCATTTTGTTGGGGAGTGTTTGCGGACACGGATTAGAACTTTGGTGTATTTAACATCAGAATTTAAATATTTATTTAAATTATTATTAGAAATTTGGACATTTAATTAATCTTTTAAAAAAACAAATAATTACTTAGTAAAACGGCCAACCCATCCTAGAAAGCAGTAAAAGATTGGGTGGGACTTGATTTTGAGAGCTCTCCACTCAAAAAATACTCAATCCCTCTCACCGTTTCCTTTTTGCTATCGCGGTGAGAAAACTTGGGTATGATGTTATAATGCCAAAAGCTTGTAATGCCAAAGCTTGTAATGCCAAAAGCTTGTAATGCCAAAACTTGTAATGCAAAAAGCTTGTAATGCCAAACCCCCAAAAGCTGTTGAAATGCCAAACCGTGGAAAATAGCTTGTAATGCCAAACCCCCAAGATATGTTGAAATGCCAAACCGTGGAAAAAAGCTTTAAATGCCAAATAAATACAAAACTAGAAATTTTTTGTTATTTCTGATAGAATTTGTTGTTAAAATTTTTTGTTTGTTCCAACAACAAGGATGTTGTTGTTCCAATTGAATTTTCGCTGGAAAAACTCTAGGCCGGGAATGCGGGGAGGGGCCGGTACTACGGGGAATGTTGTTCAAATTGTGGGGAAAATTGTTCCAACGGTTGGGGGAGTTGTTCCGACTATAGGGAAAGTTGTTCCAACAACGGGGGATGTTGTTCAAATGACGGGGACGTTTGTTCCAGTGATGGGGGAAGTGTGATGTTGATCCCCCGTTGACGGACCAACTTCCCCCGTTGACGGACCAACTTCCCCCGTTGACGGATCAACATGCCTCGTCATCGGAACAACTTCCCCCATCATCGGAACAACATCCCCCGTTGACGGATCAACTTCCCCCGTCGTCGGAACAACATCCCCCGTTATTGGAACAACTTCCCCCATCGTCGGAACAACATCCCCCGTCATTGGAACAACTTCCCCCATCATCGGAACAACATCCCCCGTTGTGTTGGAATAACATTTGGCATTTCAACATATCTTGGGGGTTTGGCATTACAAGCTATTTTCCACGGTTTGGCATTTCAACATCTTTTGGGTGTTTGGCATTACAAGCTTTTTTCCACAGTTTGGCATTTCAACAGCTTTTGGGGGTTTGGCATTACAAGCTTTTTTCCACGCTTTGGCATTTCAACAGTTTTTGGGGGTTTGGCATTACAAGCTTTTGGCAATATAAAACGCTACGGAAAACTTGTTGATCTTAAAAATTTCGAAAAATAAATACAAAAAAAACAATAAATCAGTTTAAATAATCCGAAAATAAAGACATCTACATATCTTTGTTCACAAATTAAATATACCGTATAACCTGTATTAATTACCCTCCCTCAAATAATTACATTAATTACCCAGGGTAGTTATTATAACTACCCAGGGTACCCAATAACCTGGGTAATTATAAAATTACCCAGGGTACCAAGGGTAGTTATTATTATAATTACCCAGGGTAGTTATTAAAGGATATACGGTAATTACGATATACGGTAATTATTAAAGGATATACGGTAATATATATATATTAAAATATATATATATCAGAATTTATATTTTAATTGAAACCCCAAACTCAGATTTATAACTAATTAGCTTTCTATGTCCGCAATATTTTTCCGCTTTTTTATCCGCAATTTCTTTCAAGCAATTTTGAATGACTTTAGAAAGAGTGAAAGTAAAAGCGCTCGCAAAGGCTTTAACTCTCTTTTACTAAAGTAAAAGTGTTTTCATAATTTTTTTTACATATTTTGGCTTAATATAGTAAAATAGAAAGCATTAAAGAGCATGGCAGAAAAGTAAAATAGGCGCGTAAAAGTTTTTTTCTGTTTTTACTTCCTTATTTCCTTAAATATTTTTTGACATTTTTAAATTAATAAGTAGAGCTCGGACCCGGGCCGGGCCCGGGACCGGGTTTTCCGGGCCCGGTGGCCCCGAACCGGGTATTTTTGAGAAAATCCGGTTTTTCGGGGTTTCCGGGTTTTCGGGGTTTTAGCCCGGAAAACCCGGCCCGGGTCTTGTTCTAAAAACCCGGGCCCGGCCCGGGTCCAAGTTTGAGCAAATTTTAAATAAAAGTCTGACTTTTTGGCCAAATCTATCTCCCTAAACATCCTAACTTCTTAAAATTTTCGCCTGCAGCGTCAAAAAAGGGAAAAAATCTACTTATTTACATCAAAATTCCCAAAATTTTTGCCTGCGGTGCTGAAAAGTAAGAAATCAGCTAGGTTGTTCCTCTAGAGTTCTAAATCCTCCCTAATGCCCGGTACTCTGCATATCCCTCTTGTCCTTCCAAATCTTCTTAATCCGATATTCTTCCAGACATGAGGTATTTAAGGGATAAATGATATCTATGAATTTATCAGTATTAATCACCGATATCCTCTACTTCCCTCTTTTTCCGATATCCCTTCGAATCCGCTCATATCCTTATTTGGGCGTGTTATCGAAAGATCAAAAGGTTACCTCCTCAGATATTACTTAAATCACAGATATTACTGTTATCTATTACGTAAAGATTTTTATCGAAATCTTATTAATATTTTTTCCCGATATACCTCAAAATCCCGGTTAATCCATCCTAGGTGATATATACTCTCCAGATATCTCGCAAAATCCAAGATAACTATTGATCGAGAAAAAATACATAAATCGCTCCAGAAGCCTACTTATCTAAATCCATTTAACACCTTCAAATCTACCAATAACCCACTTAATCCCATCAAATCCTTTGATAATCCGATATCGCTTCAGATTCTCCAGTATTCTGGATGTAGGTATTGAGGGATGACCGCAAATTTTTGATAAATTTCTATTTTAAATAAGGAAATTTCAAAAAAAAGCTAAATTTTAAGTATTTTTCAAATTTTGAAAAAACCGGGTCCGGGCCCGGGTGTAAAAAAACCGGGTTTTCGGGGTTTCCGGGTTTTCGGGGTTTTAGCCCGGAAAACCCGGCCCGGGTCGGGGCGGAAGAAAAAAACCCGGATACCGGGCCCGGCAAAGTGAAAATGTCGAGCACTATTAATAAGTTTGAATATTCTTTTAATTTTTTATATACTTCACTATTATTTTAAAATAATTAGGTATTTATTAGAGGTGGGTAGGTCGGAATTTCCAAGTTCAGACGTTTTTTCCTTCCAATTTCCGATTTCCGAAAAAAATTTTGATTTCCGATTTCCAGGTTCCGACTTTTGAGCCAGTTCCGATTTCCGGCTCTTCCGATTTCCGACACCTCTGACTGTTCAGACCCACCTCTGGTTTTATTACTTTACCTTTATTTCATAGCAGAGGTCGATCGGAATTCTGACTCCTGGCATTTTCGTTATTTCCAATCAACGTCTGTTTAATTGCCACTTTTAACAATTTTGTTATTTTAAATTTATTAAATTTTCAATCAGATATACTAGTAGATCTTACTCAAGTTATAAATTCCTCAGTTTCATATTTCATTATTAAATAATATTTTTATATCTTTTAACAAATATTAAATTTAATATCTGATTTTTATTTAAAAGACAAATTTTTTAACAAGTACCTATTATTTTGAAAGTATTAATAATAGCGAAATAATTACTTTGGTTATTGCTTTGAGTAATTATTATTATGAGGTGATAATTAACAGACTAGCTTACTTTTCTTCAGCTTACTTTTTGTCTTTTTTTCAGAGGTGGGTCGGAACAGTCAGAGGTGTTGAAAATCGGAAGAAACGGAAATCGGAACTAGCTCAAAAGTCGGAAATCGGAAATCAAACTTTTTTAAAAATTTCGCAAATTGGAAGGAAAAAATCGTAAATCGGAATTCATATTCTGGAATTCATATTCTGCATTCTGCTTTTTTTCTATTTTTATTTAAGCGATTAAATAAAATTTTGTATTAAATTAATTAATTAATATATTTTAAATAATTTATTTCTTTAATTACCATTTAGATTTTTAAATTAATATTCTATTTTTGAATGTTAAATTACTCTCTCATTTAAATATCTACAGAAACTAATCTATTCTTAATTATATCTTTTATTTTTTCTCCCTCCAAAAATGGTTTCTTAAAATAAAAAAAGTTTTCCTTTAAAATAATTAATTCTTGAAAGTTAATTAAATTTTAAAAGATTAAAAAAATAAGAGGGAAGCTTATCTATAAAAATAAGCTTCTCCTACAGAGCTGTACGCAATGCGGATTGCGAGTTGCGGATTGCGTAAATTGCGAGGGTTTTTGCAATTCGAGTTGCGAAACTTTCAATTCTGTGCAGCCCTTTTTTCCTATTTTTGACTTTTTTTTCTATTTCTATTATTTTATAATTTTAATTAAAATTGTTTTATTTTAAATTCTATTTTTGTTTCTGTTAATTATTTTTTTTAATTATTTTTTAAAATTTTATTTAATAATTATTTGTACTTTTTGTTATTTTTTAAAATTTTTACCGGAAATTATTCTATAAATAGATTAATATTTAAATATTTGACATAATACGTTAAAGATTAATTGAGAGAAAAAAAAACTTTTTAGAGAACCTAAAATTAAATATATTAGCTAGAAATTAAATAAATAAACATCACGAAATGCGCGAATTAATTATGTATAGTGACGAAAATAGAAAATATATGTAAAATTGAGGGATTTTAAACGGAAATGAAAACGGAAGAATAAAAAAACTTTTAATCTTTTTTTGAATATCATAGCAAGAATACTAAATTTATACAGTAAATTGCTCTCCTGTTTTTTTAAATTAAGCATAAAGAAAATGTGAATAAAAAATACTTATTTTTAATATTACTAAAAAATATTTTTTATAATGCTAAAAATTATTTTTTATATATTTTCTTTCCTATTTTTTTTTAAATTTAAGCATTAGAAGTCAGAATTTTTTCCATTCTTCATCAAATTGTGAAAGTTTTCTCGGGACAAGTCTATAACCATTTTATAGGTAATTAATAGGGCTACAAAAATAAAAAAAAATAAAGAAGGCCAAAGAAAGTATTCTTTGAGTAAAACTTTAAAAACCATGAAAAAATTTTTTCCCAAGTATTATAAATTTCCGCCACTGTATATAGTAAATTTCTCTCCTATTTTTTAAATTAAGCATAAAGAAAATTATTTTTTTATTATTCTTTTGTGAATAAAATAATTTATTTATTTATTTAATATTACTAAAAAATATTTTTTAAAAATATTTTTTTCTGTTTTTCTGTTCATTTACTGCATTTATTGTGTTGCTTTTTGATTAAAATAACATTTCATTGAAAAAGCCCGTAAATAGAGGAAAAGGGCAATAAAAGTGCATTCAACTATCACACGTAGTATTTTTTAAAAATATGTAAATTGTTGATACACTTTTTTATTTCTATTTTTTCTATGTAAAAATATTAAAATAAAATTTTGTCGTTAAAAATATATTTTTAAAAATAATTTGTAATGGTTCCTAAAATTATAACATAATAATCCTTAATAATTCTCTAAAATTTAGGGAATTTGTAGTTTTTGTGATTTCACTTCCTCAAGCACGTAAATCTTTTGAATTTTAACATTTGCGGCCTATTTTTTTTGAATCTTCCCGAAATTAACCTGCAAAACTACTATTCCCTCACAGAGCATACACGCTAAGGTTTCACCGGAACCGGATCCAATTTGAGTTAAAAGAACGCCGGAACTTTCAGGAAGTTCCGGTGAAACCTTAATACACACTACTTCCTTTAATAATTAATTTTCAAATATAATTCCCGTCTATTTTTTAGATTTTTTTTAAATTCTTAATAAATTTTTTAAAATCTTAAAATTATTTTAATTATCATAAAGAATATATTCAACTAATGGATGTCATTCCAAGCCCCCATCAACAACAATTATTAACTGAAGGTTAAAAATAAAATTAAAAAAAATATTTTTTAATTACAAAAAATATTTTTTAGTATCCGCTGGCCCACCAGAAAAAATAACTAGTGATTATATTGAATTAATTTCTTTGATTATTCTCTTTATTATCGGTGCACCTTTGAATTTGGCTGCATGGACACAGGTGTGTTTATTTAATAAACTAGACAGGCTTTATGAATTCTGTTTTTGTTTATAAAATGAATCAGCTGTATAAACTAAAAAGAATTTTTCATTTCAAATAGATTATACTAATAATAATAATAATAAATAAAAATAATAATATTTACAGTAAATGCTCGAATAATTAGCCCCTCTCAATTAATTATCCTCTTTAATAATTACCCCCTCATTTTCCTTCTATAATTTTAAAAATATTGAAAAAATCATTTTCTATTTTAATTATTGAAACATTATAAGAATCAATATCAAAAAATAAATGGATTTCCTCTTTGATTTATTGAGATATACCCCAAATTTAGCCCATTCTCTCGATTAATTACTTTCTCCAGTGAGATGTCGAAACAATAATTACCAAGGGTAATTATCGAGCATATACGGTATTATCATTATTTAATTGGAAATTTTTGTTATATTTTATCTTAACTTTGTTTTCTTTAATAAAATTCTGTTAGAAATTAATCTATCATGAGAGTTCGAGAAAATTTAAAAATTCTAAAATAAAAATAAAATACAGATAATATAATAAATATTTTATAGATCTCAGAAAAGCCAGTTTCATCAAGATTGGACATGCTTAAAAAACATTTAAATTATTCTGATCTTTTAGTTCTTTTTATTTACGTTCCTTCTAGAGCTTGTTGGTTAGTTAAATAAATTCTAATTATGTTTTTCTAACAATTATTTTAAGGTTAGTAACATATGATTGGCGTGGTGGAGACCTTTTATGTAGATTAATAAAATTTGCCCATACATTTGCTTTTCAGGTATAAAAATATTTGGAATGTTTTAGATAGAATTAATAATTGAAAATATTTTTATAAGATAAAGGGTCTGGATTGTTTATTCTTATCCTTTAGTATTTTTAATTAAAATAAAATCCAAACTTGAATTTTTTTTATATTATTGAGATAGATAAAAAAATTTTCTATAGGGTGACATAAAAGTGACTGCACAAACTATTTTTGAAATAATTTTATTTAAATTTAAGATAATAAGATCAAATAATGCTTAAATAATAGAGAAATAAATGGGGAATATAAATAATCAAGAATTTTTGAAAAGCCCATCCTTTGCTCGATACAAATTTAAGGCGCGTGAAAAAATTTTGGGCAAAAGTTCGCACCTACAAAGATGAGATTTTCTCCCTTATTACTTATTTTATTCTTCCAATTTAATAAAATTTATAATTAATTATTAAAATTAATTAAAAACCCATATCTTCGACAACCCATATTTTAAGGTCAAAGCGGAGAATTTAGATCATAAACAAGATATAGTCCAAAAATGATTTTTGGATATGGGTCGGGAAATAGGCCTTAACTTTATTATACTCCGTAATAATGATAACAAATTTGCCTCAAAGATAGATAACATTCTTGCTAATAAAATAAAAAAGAAATTAGGTAAATCGGTAAGGTAATAAAAAAGTTGTGGATTTTTAACTCAAGGGGGTAAAAAATAAAAAGTTTATTTTTTTACATAGATCTCATCTAATGTAATTGTTTGTATTGCCCTCGATCGTTTACTTTCTGTTCTTAGTGTTTCACATCGAAATCCGGGACAGGTTTTTTCTTAATTTTTATTTCAAATTTATCTCATTAGGCAACTTGCCGAATGAGAATAATGCTTTTAATTGCTTGGATTGCTGCTGCTGTTATTTCAGCCCCCCAATTTGTTGTTTGGAAATTATATCAGGCATTTGACAATCCCCCATGGAGTCAATGGTTTTTTAAAATTTTTTTTCAAAAAATTATTTTTTAAAAATAATTTTAAAGTATGCAAATATGGGAAATAGAACGATCACAATTACAACGAAATAATAATTTTCACCTCGTTTCTAATGATTCGACAATAAAATTGCTTGACAGCAAAGTTAGATTAAATAATTAATTTTTAAAAATTAAGCTAATATACCCAATTATTTTAAATTATTCTTGAGTGTAAAGAAAAGGGAGATCCAACTGTCTAGGCGGTGTGGGATGGGGGGACAACGTTCCGATAGCTCTCTCGGTAGAGGAGTAAATACGTGGTGAGCGAGGCTCTTAGCAATAACTGCCAGGATGTTGAAGGATCGGAGCTGTTCGCTGCTAAACTTTTACTTAACTATTAGCTTATGTTAATAATTATAATAGAGAATATATGAATAAATCTTCGAACTTATCAAGAAGTTAAGCGACTCTCAAGTTAAATAATAGGGGTAGCTGTGCAGTAGGCAGCGCAGTGTAAGGTATAACACATCAGTCCGGTCTACTGAGGATGCTAGTTCGCTCCCAGCCGCCGAATAACCTTTTCCACTAGCTAAAGAAGAGAAATAGCTATAGTCCAGATGTGCTTTACTTTTTTAAGCTAGCATTCTCCTTATTTTTTTGAAGATCCGGGATGCCTTTTAGTGCAAACGATTATTCAAACTAATTATATCTTATTTAAATTAGTTACTCGATGAGGAAAGTATTTACATGATTTTACATATGTTACTTATTTTTTGGATTCCAGCTTGTATCATTATGGTACCTATTTAGTTTCTTAATTTTAAATTCAAAATTTAAAAGTTGTGTTATTTACTTTTATCTTGTTGGGTATATATTAATTCTAAACCAAATTTTTTTGATTTGGTTAATTCTGCTGAAAAGGATGGAATTGGGGAACAACAAATACAAATGGTTAATTTATTAAATAACCAACAAGCACAGCAAAGTCAGAAACATCAAACAGCACAAAATGTTTATAAATTTTTTAAAAATTTAAAAATATTTTTAGCAATAAAATTTAGTGTTATTTTTATTTGATTTAATATTTTTCAGGGCAGAATGTGAATTGTTTAATTAATATTTTTGTTTAGTACAGGGTGACCCAAAAGTAATGGGACACATTATTTATGCCATAACCTTATTCAAATTTAGTTAGTGGGATGAAATAAATATTAAATGATAGTGAATTAAATAAGGAACTTTGGGGAATTAAATAAGGAACTTCACCCTGTAGAACTCCGAAATATAAAAATAATTAATTATTAAACTAATTAATAGAAGTATAGTACATATCTTGGTTGTAAGCTTAACAATAAGACAATTAAATAGAAATAAAAGCGAGTTAGGGTAAAACTTCCACCAGATAAAATTCCAACCGACAAAACTCGATCAGTACTACCAAAACTCCATCCAAAGAAAATAATATATGCCTTAGTTTAGTTTTACTAATTTAAGTTATTAGGGAGGATTAAGGGGGATATACGAGGAATTGGAGGGATTAAGAGGGATATTATAGGATTTGGGCATAATATCGAAGGATCAAGAGTGATATCGGAGTATTTATTTTTGGATTGGAAAGCAGTAAATGCTAAAATAAATTAATCATAAAATTATTTAATTTTTCTAGGCATCAAATGGAGGTGGTGGTGGAATGTTAGTTGCTTTACGTTCTAGCCGTGTTTCCTATCAACTTGCTCCAATAAATAACAGCACAACTACACAAGGCCATGAAACTCAAAATACAACATTATTTACTAATAATATTTCAAATATTGAATGTTTGTTAAATAATAATAATTTTTTATTATAAGAGTAACCCCTTACAAATAAATATTAAAAAATTTATTTTAAGAATTTAATTTAGCTATTTTTTGATTGGATTTAGAGAAATTGTCTAAAAATGTTTAGAGTTTTTGGCGATATCTGACCTAATCCTCAAAGATTATACAAGCTCTTCCAACTTAGTTCAAGTGTTCATAAGCTCGTACCAAAATTTGTACTTGTACTCGTACTTTGGTACAACGAGTACAAGCAAAAAATAGGGGTGGTACGAGTACGAGGCAAAACTTAGAGGTGTGGTACGAGTCCAAAATTAAGGGTGGTACGAAGTACGAGTACGAGGCAAACTTGAAATTTATGAACACTGCTTAATTCCAAAAAAACCCGACCCGAACCTCAACATGCCTTCCCCGGCAAACCCCGATCCTTGACACACCCGCCCCCGAAGGGTCGGGGGCCCTAATCTAAACTCCGCAATCCTCAGTTTCCTCATTCCGAACCGACAACCCTTCCCCAAATATTCATAATTTAAAATAATTAAAATAAAAATTTCTTTAAATTATTCAAATTTTCTTCTAAAATAATTTTATTTTTTTTAAATTTAAGCACCCAAAACCAAAAAACCAATGATTGTATTAAACGATGAAATGCTTCTATCTTTATCCCCAAGTCAATCACCCCAACCGGGAATTGATTCTTCGGAAGTAAAACAAAATAAGCATTTAAATGGAATAGCAGAAATGGTTAAACAAAGGGAAAATGAACAAAGAAATAGTTCCACTACTTCAAATGAAGCAGCTGCCGCTTTACTTTTAGCCTCAAAAAGGCAAAGGCAATCATCATCTTATAGTGCAAAATCACAAAGGTTTTGAAAAATATTGAAATTATTTTAATAAGGAAGAGTAAAACTAAAAATAAAAGTTGAAAAGGACGAGGAATGCCTCCAAAAAATAGTGCGAATTTGTAGTCTGGAAAAAATTTTTTGTGGGGAAAAATAAAAGATACCGTATGCCAAGTACCTATTAATTGCCCTCCCTCAAATAATCACCCCATCCAGCGATGGATTGAAACAATAATTACCACCAACAAATGCCATAAATCACGTTCAAATTTCAAACCTCGTATAATTACCCTCCCTCGATTAATTACTCCCTTCAGCGGAAGGTCGAAACAATAATTACCCAGGGTAGTTATTAAAGGATATAAGATAAGGCGAGACTTGAAGATTTGATTTTTTCCTAAATTTTACATTACAATCAAATTATAAAAATATTTTTTTAAGAAATAGAGCAATTCGTGTTAGTTTTCTTCTTGTAATGGGCTATTTTATTTGTTGGTTACCATACAATTGTTTATCACTTTTACAATTCATATACCCAGAATTATATTCAAAACATGCTAGTAAAGTATATAATTTAAATGGAATTATTGTGTAAGTTTTTTTAGAAATTATTTTTTATTAAATTATTAATAGAAATAAAAATATATTTAAATATTTAATTAAAAATATATTCATTTTCCTATTAAAATTTTATTTTTTGGTTCTCATAAATAGAGTTGTCGTTTCCTGGAAATTCTTCGGATATCCGAACCGAACTGAAGAACTGAACCGAAAAATTTTTGGTTCTTTGGTTCGGTAAGGTCTATCGGAACCGGAAAAACTGCGGATATCCGGAGATTTTCGGTTCGGATACCGGTTCCTGTTCCGGATATCAGATGATTTCCCAGGAACCGCCATCCTTAGAGGGGGGGGGGGGGGTCTTTTACAAAAGATAATTTTAATAATTTTCTATAAAAAATATATTTTTTAGTTTCAATTCTGTTATCAACCCTTATTTGTACGGTCTTTGTGGTGGATTATGTCGACAAGGACGGAGAAATTCTTAAATTTCTAGCCAGTTTATTAATTTTAATATTTTTACTTGCCAAAATAAATAAATACAGTGGCGGAAATTTAGTTAAGAAAAAATTTTATTAGTTATATTTTTGAAAAAATTTTTTTCATACGTAAAGTTGGAATCCAAATCTTTATATAATTTTGTAGCTCTATTTATAGGCTATCAAATAATCACTTATCTATTAAATAAGAGTTAATGATTAGGCATGCAAAATTCAATTTTCTAAAGAGGGTCAAAAATTGCGCGGAAATTTAGTTAAGAAAAAATATCCCACTTATTTTTCTCAAAGTTCCAACATTCGGAAAAATCCATAAAAATTCCAACAAATATATATAGTAATATTATAAACAAATAAAAAAAATTAGGCCCATATCTCTGCTCAGTGTCAAGATCCGGTCACTTCTAAAACGTCTAAAATCAACGTAAAACGCAGGTAGGTCTCTTTAAAAAATATTTTGGACACCTTACTGGTAAAATAAAAATTTTATTTTGGGCTCATTCGAAAGCCCTTGAAATTTGCTACAAGATAGCCAAATCGAATTTTTTATACAAAAATTTTTTAGAGAGATACAGACCACTAACCCTACGAAGCGGCGAAATACGCTTAAATTACCCCATAAAATGCCTCTTACGGCTGCTTCGTAGGGTTAGTGGCCTGTATCTCTCTAAAAAAATTTTTTTATGAAAAATTCGATTCGGCTATCTTGTAGTAAATTTTAAGGGCTTTCCAAAGAGCCTAAAATCAAATTTTCATTTTGCCTGTAAGGGGTCGAAAATATTTTTTAAAGAGTCCTACCTGTGTTTTAAGCTGATTTTAGACGTTTTTGAGATGCCCAGATCTCGACAGCTAATGGAGATATGGGTCTAATTTTCTTTATTTGTTTATATTATTATTGGAATTTATATATTTATTGGAATTTTTGTGGATTTTTCCTAATGCTGGAACTATGAAAAATAAATGGGGGTAATTTTTTCTTAACTAAATTTCCGCGCAATTTTAGACCCTCTTTTGATGAATGAATTTTTCCCGCTTAATAATTAACTTTTATTTAAAAGATGAATGGTCATTAGATAGCCTATAAATAGAGCTACAAAATTATATAAAATTGAATATTCAAAGTTAATGTTTGAAAAAATAATTTTCAGAAATATTAATAAAGATATTTTTTCTTAACTAAATTTCCGCCACTGTACATATTTAATTTGATCTCTTTATTTTTAAATAAATTTTTTAAATATATTTTTTTAACAAATTTTGGAGAATAAAACTCCTCCTTTATATCTTCTTAATGCTTGAAGATGCACGAATCCAGTGTTATTTTTAATAGAGCCCGGACAGAGGGCTCGGTCGATATTTTTTCGATAAATATCGAAAAATATCGAAACCGAAATATATCGAAAAAAAAAAGATTTTTGATTTTTCAAAAATTTTTCTATAACCAACGAATAACAGAATAGACCTAATAGTTTAATGAGATTAAGATTAATAAATGGGATATTGGTGGATTTGGATGTATTAAATGTAATATCAATGGAATTGTATTTGATATCGAAGGATCAAGTGGGATATAAGTGGATTTTAACTAGGAATAATGGATTTTAAGGAATTAAGTGGGATATTGAAGGACTGATGGTGTATCGAGAGATTTAGTGTTGGTAAGAGTGATATTGTGGATTAAATAGACTACATATTTTTCTTTTTTAATTTCTAGAAATTATGGATGATGAAGTCAGTGCTTTGTGGGTTCCGGCAAATCTGTACTCTAAAAGTACATATAAACAAAATTCGGCTGTAGTTTAGTCGAGGGCCTGCACCGAACCGGGACAAATGATATGTCAATCGATTCGTCTCGGCGAGCTGAGTCGAACGGTACTACTCTCCAGGTGCGGAAATGCCTGTGGACCGAGATATAGGTCCCTGAAATTTGAAAAACCAAAGGGGGGAGTAAGCACTTTTTGGGGTGAAAAAATCGATTTTCTGAATAATAGCTCATTCGAAAGAGCTCCTCGAGCTGAGTCGAATGACACCAAAATCACTGTGATTGGACGAGTATGAACCGAGATATAGGGCTCGAAATGGTCAAATTTTCTGGGGTGATTTTTGGGGTCAAAAATTCGGTTGTACAAATGATAGCTCATTCGAAAGAGCTCGACGAGCTGAGTTGAATGACACAAAAATCAGCTCGATCCGATCATTCTGAACAAAATTATGAACAATTCAATTTTCGCTTGAATAACAGTTTTGGTGTTGCTACGGAGGGTAGGTCGGCATTCAAGGCTGAGAATCAGTAAAAAGGAATAGGATTAAATTACGAGCCAAGACCCAGCAACCGTAGACTCCCCGCGAGGCGCGTGCCGCAAAACTCCGCGCGAAGCGCGGAGTTTTGCACAAGCGCCTCGCCGACGCTCCATAGGTTTAAGTTGACCATTTCGAGCCCTATATATCGGTTCATACTCGTCCAATCACAGTGATTTTGGTGTCATTCGACTCAGCTCGAGGAGCTCTTTCGAATGAGCTATTATTCAGAAAATCGATTTTTTCACCCCAAAAAGTGCTTACTCCCCCCTATGGTTTTTCAAATTTCAAGGACCTATATCTTGGTCCACAGGCATTTCCGCACCTGGATAGTGGTACCGTTCGACTCAGCTCGCCGAGACGAATCGATTGACATATCATTTGTCCCGGTTCGGTGCAGGCCCTCGACTAAACTATATCCCAAAATTCTCAAGATAAAAAATTACAACACCTAATTTAGAAATTTAAAATTTTGTCTAATTTCATGGGAAAGAGAAGAGGGAAATTAATATTTTTTAATATTTTTGTGGGAAAAAACTAGCGATGGGTTTGGCCACTGTTGTTGATATCAGGACACTGTGGCAGTAAAATACATCGGGGGGTTCTTTAGGTTACGATACTTCTGCCCGTTGGAAAGCCTAACGGCTTTGGGGGCGCGCTTCGCGCGCCGCTAGCGATTTTTTATGCCTGGAACAAAAGATAAGCCTTCATTGGGACTCATCCTTCCACTTAGAGTCACTTCGGGACTTCGGCCCTCGTCTTCCCCTCATTTAGACTCATCCTTCCACTTAGAGTCACTTGGGCCTTTGGCCCTCGTCTTCCCCTCGATTGGACTCACCCTTCCACTTAGCTTCACTTCGGGCCTTCGGCCCTCGTGATCCCTTCGATTGGACTCCTCCTTTCAATTAGAGTCACTTCGGGCCTTCGGCCCTCGTCTTCCCCTCGATTGGACTCGCCCTTCCACTTAGAGTCACTTCGGGCCTTCGGCCCTCGTGTTCCCTTCGATTGGACTCCTCCTTTCAATTAGAGTCACTTCGGGCCTTCGGCCCTCGTCTTCCCCTCGATTGGACTCATCCTTCCACTTAGACTCATCCTTCCACCCTTTGGCCCTCCCTTTTAGATGGGTGTCAGCTCGGGCCTTCGGCCCTCGCCCTTCCTTTTAGATGGCTGTCAGCTCGGGCCTCCGGCCCTCGCCCTCCCTTTTTGTCAGCTCGGGCCTTCGGCCCTCGCCCTTCCTTTTAGATGGGTGTCAGCTCGGGCCTCCGGCCCTCGCCCTTCCTTTTAGATGGGTGTCAGCTCGGGCCTTCGGCCCTCGCCCTCCCTTTTAGATGGGTGTCAGCTCGGGCCTTCGGCCCTCGCCCTTCTTTTTAGATGGGTTGGACTCCTCCTTCGATTGGACTCCTCCTTTCAATTAGAGTCACTTCAATTAGAGTCACTCGCCCTCCCTTTTAGATGGGTGTCAGCTCGGGCCTTCGGCCCTCGCCGAAGGTCTGAGTGGAAGGATGAGTGTTGGGACTCATCCTTCCACTCAGAGCCACTTCGGGCTCATCCTTTCACTTAGAGTCACTTCGGACTCCTTTATTCGGACTCATCCTTTCACTTAGAGTCACTTCGGACTCATCCTTCCACATAGACCCTTGTCTTTTCTTTATTTGGTCTCATCCTTCCACTTAGAGGC